TTATTAGGAAAAAAATTAGGAATCACAGGCTACCTAAATCATTGACTTTTTCAAACTTTGATGTGTGTAAGTTTGTAAAGATTGCTTGCAGAGGGAGTGCTCGTGGTCCTAGCCCTCAGGAGGCTGAGGTGGGAGGATCACTTGAGCTCAGGAGTTGGAGCCTGCAGTGAGCCACAATGGTGCCACTGCACTCCAGTCTGGGCAACAGAGCAATGATAAAATATTAAAATGATGAAAAAAGAAAAACTTATAGAATTTCAGGAACAGCTCCCTGAGATACTGGTTCAATAGGTTTCTGAAGAGCCACTTTCTTTGGAAAAAAGTGGACTAAACCTGTACACTACATCAATTGCACAAACCTAACTGATAAAAATGAGCCAGCTCCCATCAGTCAACAAGCTACCTTGTACAGAAAGCAGTTACTAACCAGCAGGAGTAAGCCAGTCAGTTCCAAATACTGATTCCCTAATAATATTCAATCTGCTCACCACTATTGCTTCCCCAGTGCCGGCAAGTAGAAGGTGCCCATTAAGTTGAATATTAAGTGTGCATGATTTAAAAACAAAAGCAATGATTGAAAGCAAAGAAAAGAGCAAAACCGAACAAAATAACCACCACAAAGCAGAGCAAGCAGTATGCGATGCAATGTCAGGAAGGGTTAACCCCAATTTTAAAAGAGAAAATGAAAAACAAGAAATTCTATATTAATTACTTGATTTAAATTTGACTGTAAACTTTTGACTTGTTTTGGAGTCTGGCTACCCCAGGATGACAGCCCATTTTGAACATGTGAGAGTTCCATTTACCAGAAAACAGGCCTTTCCTAATGCAGTGGGATTTCAGCTCGGTGGGGAGGGCGACCCTCAGTGGTGTGCTTGCTCAATTTTGTGTGTGTGCTGGGTGGCTCTTCAGTGCAGACTGAGAAGATGACACACTGACCCAATACTGTCATTTCGAGAAGAGAGAGACTCCCAGATCCCACTTGAGTTAAAGGCAGAAAGCCCCCTTCTTACAGTTCTCAGATTCTCTGTTACACCCCCTGCCTCCACTAACAGAGGTTAGAGGCCATTCCAGGATGCCTGTGTTCTCTTCTGCACCTGTTGTGACTGACTTGCTAGAGCACATGCTACAGAAGTTTCTAGTGGAAAATGGCCAGCATAAAGCCTCAACTTTATTTAGTTTTTATTTTTTAGAGATGGGATCTCGCTATGTTACCCAGGCTGGTTTTGAACTCCTGGCCTCAAGTGATCCTCTCAGCTTGGCCTCCCAAGGTGCTGGGATTATAGGTGTGAGCCACCATGCCTGGTCAAGACTCATGTTTAAAAGGCCATTGGTCACATAACCAAGAGCAAGGCCCTCAGTGGCCATATGTGTGGAAGCAGGTTTTATCAGATAAAATTTGCATCTCATACATGTGGCTATCTGCACATGACTCCTAATATATACAATGAAAAAATATTTTAACAATCTGGACTTGTGCTTACATAATATTGAATATCCTAAATCATATTTTTACTAAAATAATCATCTGATGGTCAACAGCATTAAAAATAAATATTGCAAGGTTTGCATTGACAACTTTGGTATTTTCTTAGGCTCAGCCAAAAACTACATTAACTAAGTACAGTTCAAATAATTTATAAGTAATCTAGGAATCTTACTTGAAATCTGATCCAATACATTGGAACTGACAACTTAAAAAAAAAAAAAAAAAGAATAGGGTAGATCTTGGTTAATCAACACTAACTGAGAACCAATTTCATATCTTTTAAAGTCAGATAAGCTAAAATTTGTCTCAGAAGAGAGGTAAATTAATAGAGAAAATAAGTTACATAGCTTCCTTCAGAAAGCTAGCACCTGCGGCTATGTGCTTTGTACCTGGTGCAGCAAGAGGTGGAGTGAAATGGTTGTTGAAAAGACAGCCACAGCCAGGCACGGTGGCTCATGCCTGTAATCCCAGCACTTTGAGAGGCTGAAGTGGATCACTTGAGGTCAGGAGTTCGAGACCAGCCTGGCCAACATGGTGAAAACCCGTCTCTACTAAAAATACAAAAATTAGCTAGGTGTGGTAGCTCATGCCTGTAATCCCAGCTACTCGGGAGGGTGAGGCAGGAGAATTGCTTGAACCTGGAGGCTAAGGTTGCAGTGAGCTAAGATTGTGCCACTACACTCAAGCCTTGGTGACATAGCAAGACTCTGAGAAAAGAAAGAAAGAGAGAAAGAAAGAGAAAAAAGAAAAGAAAGAGAAAGAAAGAAAAAAGAGTGAGGGAGGGAAGAAAGGAAAGAGAAGGAAGGAGAGAGAAGGAAGGAAAGGAAAGAAGGAAGGAAGGAAAGAAAGAGAGGGAAGGAAAAGAAAAGAGAGAAAATACAGCCAGGCTCAGGTTTAAGTCTCTGCTCTGCTTCTTACTGGCCACAAATGGTTGGGAAAAATCTTTAACCCTCAGAGCTTCAGTTTCTTCCCATAAAATAATAACACACTCACCTGATAGACTTTGTTTGAGAATCAATGAGAGAAGGTAGCTGCAGCCCTGGCATGTGATGGGTACTACAAGTATAGTTACTATTTAGGATTAAGAAACAGAATTTCTTTCTAATACAAAGAGTAGAAAAAGCAGAGTACACAAGAATAACTGAGTAACTTGAAGACACAGCAGGGATTAGATTCCGAATCACCTCTGTGGGGTAAAAGAAATATATGGTCTATATTTCACTGACAATAAATGTCATGCCTGTTACACATAAGGCAGTACATATTCTTCAGGTATACCAGCTTGCTTCCCTGTGCAAACTTCTTCAATCCAAAGAACCAGAAAAGATGTGCTGGGGAAGAGGTTCCTCTTATATTTGAAATAAGACTTTTTTCCCCCCAAGGCCTTTCCACATATGTGTCCTAGGAGGCAGGCAGGCGCAAGTGTGTAATAACAGGGTCAAAGCACAGGCCAAGGTGTCAGACATCCACCCACTTCTACCAGTGAGATCGTGAGTGGGTCACTCACTTTTCTTATCTGTACAATGGAGAAGATGATATCTAGGGTTGCTTATCTGACTTAAAAAATAAGACACGAATGTGGATCTTGGTTGGCGTTGGTCATCCAGGAGCAACCTTCTTATTCTTTTTATTTATTTATTCATTTATTTTTGATCAGTTACAAATTTCAATGCATTGATGTCATCAGGCTGCTGTAAGGATCCTTCTGGAAGGATAAAATAAGACCAAATGTGCAAGAATCTCAGCCCAGTACCCAGCGCACAGAAGTCAATGCATAGGACTTCAATGGTCAAGACAGCAGCATCTCCATGCTCGGTGTGAGGAGGCTGAGGTTAAACAGCTAGTGACTGGCAGAGGGGGGTCAGACCCTTGAACAATCCTGTATCTAAGCACAGGTTTCATGGTGATTCAGCTATAACTTTGGCCTGACAGGTAGGATGACTTGTTAGAGGTCCCAAAACATGTCAGGAATGCAGTGGGGCACAGCATCTGGTCCTCTGCTCAGTTGTCATTAATCCCTGGATTGCATGTAGCAACCTGCTCAAATGCTGCAGAGCACTAGCTCATCAAACCATGAAGGCAATTCAACCACTCGGCCAAAAAAAGAAAAAAGGCTTTGGCCTCCTTATGACATTCTCTGGTAACCTTGCCTCTTGGTCAATCAGATTGACAGCTGGCTGCCATCTACACTGTTTTATGGGTGCCTCTGCAATTATTCTGAAATTAAAAAAAAAAAAAAAAAAAAAACCTCAGACTCTAAATTAGAGGACTTTTATTTTTTCTGATAATGAATTTCTTTGCTTTCTACCAAGTCTCAGAAATTGACTTGGGCTGTGGACTCCTACCCCCTCCTATGAACTTAGACTTATACTCATTCTTATTTTGCACTAGAATCTTTACAAAGAATGAGCTAAACCTGGAGTTCAGGGTTGATCAGGAGGAGTGAGGGGTGGAGCATGAGCGTATGTAAGCCAGATAGGTGGAACAGCTGCGGTGTTGAAGCTGACAGAGCTGTTCTTTGAGGGATAGAGAAGGTACTGTCTGGAAGGGAATGGTGTGGCTTTAATAAATGAAGGGCCTCAGACACAGCCTTTATTATACACTGTCCACCTACAGCCAAGAGGGTGAGGAGAAATGCTTGCTTTTTATCTTTGGCAAATTCTAAGCATATTGAAAAGAGCAGGAAAGGTGAAGTAGGGCAGATTTCAGAAGAGTACATTTAAAGCCCTGGGACCATGTTCCATAGTCACAGAGGTGGGATTTAATGTATCCTGCTCTCAGCTTCAGGATCATATGAGAAATGTTGGGCTGCTCTCCCTAGTGTACATAGTCTACTAGTTAGAAATCTGCCCAAGCTGAAGAATTTTGCTAATCTGAGTATCTTGATGTTTTGCCCCAGACATTGTTGAGTTTCCATTTCTCCAGAATCTGTACACTGTCAACCCATTTCTCCAGTTGCTTAGGAGAGCTCTCTGTGCAGTTTCGTTTTGCTTCTTTTCTTTCTTTCCCCTTCCTTCCTTCCTTCCATCCTCTCTCCCTCCCTCCCTCCTTCTCTCTCTCTCTCTCTCTCTCTCTCTCTCTCTCTCTCTCTTTCTTGCTCAAATTGTCACCCAGGCTAAAGTGCAGTGGTATGCTCTCTGCTCACTGCTACCTCTGTCTCCTGGGCTCAAGCGATCCTCCCACCTCAGCCTCCTGAGTAGCTGGGACCACAGATGTGCACCACCATGCCCAGCTAATTTTTTGTATTTTTGGTGGAGTCAGGGTTTCACCATGTTGCCCAGGCTTTTCCTGAACTCCTGAGCCCAAGCAGTCTGCCCACCTTGGCCTCCCAAAATGCTGGGATTCCAGGTGTGAGCTGCCAGGCCCAGCCCTGTGCAGTTTCAATAAGAATGTTAAGGATCATGAGCTTCAAACCTAAAGGGAGCAGGCTGAAAATACAGAATCTCATTTAAATTGTGGAGTATCAGTTGTTGAAAGAATTAGGTGCTATGCAGAAAGTGTATGAACTTACCTGTCTCTCGGTCCCTGATACAGTAGTCTGGAGAATTCTCAAAATACACGAGGTCATTTTTTGTTGGCTTCTTAAACCTCTCGTTAGCCACAGTGAAACCCGTGCCGTCCTGGTTCATGACCACCTGGATGGCCCCATTGTACTTCCTCCAGAGATAATCGCCCGTTTTCCTGAAGTCGGCCATGGCCAGCCAGCATGTCCTGAGAGAACACGAGCCGCTCACCCCGTGGCACTTGCACTCTTGTTTCAAGAACCGCTTTACAGACTGCCAAAAAAGACAGGGGCAAGTTCAGTGAGGTGGCTTGGAGCGGGTGACACATGCTACAACTCTCCTTACCTCCCAGCAATACAGAAGTGACCCTCAGGATGCTGGATCCTGGGGAGAGTGACTGGGAGATGTTGATCCACTGCTTGTCACTTACTAGCCACATCAGCCACTGTCCTGACAACAGTAGACTAGGGCGGTGGGTAGAGAGGGGAGGGATAGCGCCTGACTGTGTACCCCACTGGCTATCAGTGTAACGGAAACCTCACTATTTAATAGGGCATGTGTCCAGTTTGAAGAGTGAGGGATTGAATTATTTTCTAAATAAATAGAGCTTTATTATATTAAAAATGTATACCATTTAATTAATGCTATCCAGTTTAAAAGAAAAGAAAATAAAAATGCATGCTATTATGCAATTAGATTAACAAAATAATTGCTAAGTCCAAATCCTTCAATAAGCCAATCATAGTAATTGGTACTACAGCAATCCTGTGCTACCGTATTTCTTTTGCAGATGACTGAGAAGCAAGACTGAGAGAGGGTGAAGCACTTGCCCAAAGTTACACAGCCAGGAAAAGACAGAGCCAGGCTGTACTGGAAAGTGTTAGCCACCCTGAGGCTGACAGTAGCTTGGGGGGATTCAGCTTAGATGACAGGGCTGGGTTTACTCTGGTCTTTCTTAGAGAGGAAGCAAAGGAAACTGGGACAAGCTCATCTGGGCTGGCTCCCAATACGGAGACCCCTTTCTGTGGGTGTGAGGCGTGTGGAGAGGAGAGGGGACAGGTGGGCCTGAAACTTCCAGGGGAGCTTCTGCTTTGTCTTCGTGAGCCAGCAGAGCAGCACTTTCCCCAAAGCAATTTGGTGAGTTATCCTGCCCTGGCCCGTTTCTCCTTCGCTCACCCAAGTGAAGAGATTATTATTGCTCATGGTCCTCACAGCAACTTTGATCTATTCCTCTTCCTGTTTTACAGCTGATGAGCCAGGGATTGGGAAGGCAGCTGACTTGCCCAAGCTTGGTAATAGGAATTCACTCCCACTCTCCCCGGGTCAGGCCTTGGCACTAGGTATCTTTCCCACTTTACCCCCAGCTCCATTGTGGGTGGTGCACCCAGTACATTTGAAATCTATCCTTCTCAGCACGAGCCAGCCCTGGAGGGAAAGGATGGAGAAGTGAGCAGGAGGCATGTGCCTAGCTTGGCTCTCCCAGTTGCAGGGATCCAGGCATCTTTAAAGGATATCTTAGAATGAACTTCCTCTTCGGAATTACACAGCCCCATGAACCCCCGCCCCCATCTTTATATTATGGGTGTTTGGTAGGAGGCTCACACCATGACCTGGAGGGCAGGCCTCTGCCACATAAACAACCCTGGAGTGCCACCTGGGCTCTTCCACTCTGCCCCATGTGGCTCTCACCTGTCCAAGAGCTGCCCCTCCTTAAATCTTAGAGAGCACCACACAAAACTCACTCCACATCAAGTACTTGAGAATTAGATATGAATGCTCATTCTTCCAAGCTTATTCTTTTTAAATCTAGGTATTTAATCATAAGTAATATTTCTAACTTTAAAAATGACAGGAAATATTACTGTTCCTCCTTTTCTTTCATTTTTTTTTTTTTTTTTTTTTTTTTTTTAGACGCAATCTCACCCTGCCGCCCAGGCTGGAGTGCAGTGGTGTGACCATAGCTCACTGCAGCCTTGAACTCCTGGGCTCAAGCGATCCTCCTACCTCAGCCTCCTGCATAGCTAGGACTAAAGGTGCATGCCACCATGCCTAGCTAAGTTTTAAAAATGTTTTGTGGAGATGGGGGTCTCACTGTGTTGCTGGGGCCAGTCCCTAACTCTTGGTTCAAGCAATCTTCCCATCTCAGCCTCCCAAAATGGTGGGATTATAGGTGTGAGCCAATGTGCCTGGTCTGCCCTCTCTTTCTGAATTTCCGGATCATAAACTTCAAAGCTGACATTTTTATGTAATTAATTGAAGAATTTGCATATTAATTTAAAATTGTATCTTAAAAAATAACATCATAAATCCTTAAAAAAAAACATGTGGTGACAGACAGGGTCATCTGTGTAACCTCCTCCCTTCCTTGCTAACATTTTGTTCAGGTGTTGGTTAGCCTTGTGTTATAAAGGACTCCCAACCCCAGAGTAGTCCAAATCACTAATAGTAATTTCACTGTCCTGACACTAATTTTTTTTCCAGCTTGGAGCATGTGGCGATTCAATTTGGGCCAGTCCTATGATAGGATAAATCTCTTAGGAGTCTTGTCAAAAAAATGTTTCTTCACTTTTTAAAAGTAACATGTGAGGTTGGGGGCATGGTGGCTTATGCCTGTAATCCAGCACTTTGGGAGACTGAGGCAGGAGGATCACTTGATCCCAGGAGTTCAAGAACAGCCTGGGCAGCATAGTGAGATTCCATTTCTATACACACACACAAAAAAAAAAGATTGTGGCATGTGCCTATCTATGGTCTCAGCTCCTTGGGAGGCCGAGGTGGGAGGATCGTTTGAGCCTGGTGTTCGAGGCTACAGCGAGCCATGATTGCATCACTGTACCCCAGCCTGGGTAACAGAGCGAGATCCTGTCTCAAAAATAACATAACATAAAATAAAAGAGGCACATGAGGAGAAACACCTTGTCTCCGTCTCTAGATGCTGTTTTCTGTAGCAGCTTCTTTGGGACGTGAGGGCAGCAACACTGACAGGCAGAAAGCTGCAGACATACGTGACGGATGTGAAGATCTGGGTTCTGGGAACGCTGCTGAGCCGCTCAGTGAGCCCACTTTAGACCTGCCCTCCCGCCAGACTTTTTGTGATCCAGTCAGTAAAGTTTCCTCCTTGTTTTAGTGCCTTTGGGATCTGTTACTTGTGGCGGAAAGTATTTCAACAGGTACCATGGGCAGTTCTTGATTGTGGATTAATGACAGGCTTTAACTGACAATTAACCTGGGGGGAAAGTGAGACAGCTTCTCTGGTATTGGGCTTGCTCACGTCTCCAGCACCCACTGTTAATGCACAATGTGTTCAGTGCTCAGTCACAGTTTGGGGCTACCTTCATTACTTCTACCTACTGAGTTTGCAGACTTGAAATTCAAGCGTTTAACCTTGAAGTGGATAAAACCGCGCTCAGTCAGAGAGGCAGAGGGAAGAGAATGTAAGCCAAGGCAGCCTGTTTTCAGGAATAACTGAGGGAAGAGTAAGGATATGGGAGCAAGAAACTCACAATGAGGATTCCTAGTTTAGAACAACTCCCGTATTCAAATGTTATAACATGGTAACAAAAACAACCACTTATTGAGTGTCTAACTATGTGCCAGGCTCCACACCAGGTGGTTTACACACATTATCTAATTATCACCATAAGCAAAGAAAGTTATCATTCCTGTTCTATGGTTATGAAAACCAGGGCTCTATGAGGAAAGTAAAATCCCTAGTCACACAGCTATTCAGAGGCAGAACAAAGATGTGACTCTCAGCTCCGTGCTATTTCTAAAAACACACTTAAAATTTTACTATAAATCACATTGTGATTTTGAATTATGCATTCTGTTTCCCTTCATTCTTTCCTTTTCTTTTTGAGATGTAGTCTTGCCCTTGTCACCTAGGCTTGAATGCAATGGTGTGATCTCGGCTCACTGCAACCCCTGCCTCCTGGGTTCAAGTGATTCTCCTGCCTCAGCCTCCTGAGTAGCTGGGATTACAAGTACATGCCACTATGCCTGGCTTTTTTTTTTTTTTTTTTTTTTTTTTTTTTTTTTTTTTTTTTTTTTTTTTGGAGGTGGGGTTTCACCATGTTGGCCAGGCTGGTCGTGAACTCCAGACTTAGGTGATCTGGCTGCCTCTGCCTCCCAAAGTGCTGGGATTGCAGGCATAAGCCACTGTACCTGGCCCCCTCCATTCTTTTGAATAATTAAGAATTGACTTAAAATATTACATAGCTGTTATAATGGGGCAGAGGAAGAAGAAGAGGTAGTGAAATAGTGGGGGATTACATTGCATCTTCTAAACTACTAATCATTACAAATTTATTAAACAATTCACAAAAGAAATACAAAGTACTAACAAAAGGAGAGAAAGATGTTCAATTTTATTAGTAATTAGAGAAATGCAAACTGAAATAATACACCTTTTTTTGCCTAGCAAAAATAGTAAAAATGTCAATTTTTTCAAATTTTAAGAATCAAAAAATAGTACAACAGTAAAAAGACTGATATTGTTAGTAAGAGTCCAGGGGAAGAGATGCTTTAAAAAACCATTGGCTGGAAAGTATAGTGAAACATCATTTAAATGAAAAGTATTTTTGCATTACCTGCAAAAATGTTAAATGTACATAATCTTGACCTGGTGATTGTACTCTGGAAATATCTGCACAAGTTTGGAAGGATACACACCTACATGGATCTTCATGCAGCTATTGCATAATTGATAATGGCAAAATATGAGGAAAAACCCAAATGACATCAATAGGAAAATTGCTGATTATGGTATATGCTTAATAATAGAATATTATGTGATCTCTGAACAATGAAGTAGATCAGTCTTACAGGCAGGAAAAAAAGTCAAGTGATAAAAGCCAAATGCAGAACAATATACGTGCTATGATCCACTTTTTAAAGGCCTGCATATATGTGTGTAGCTGGCAGAAAAAGGGAAAATATGCTCTTTTACAATCTGGCTGCAGTTTGAGGGATTTCATGGTCTTGAAAGACAGGGGGAAACAAAAAGAGTGAAATTACTCCACATAGTAAAATAACAGGAATTTGAGGATTTCTCCCTGGCAACTGGAGAGGGCAGGTCAGTGGGTGTCACTCCTGGCTACACATTAAAATCACCTGAGGATCATTTCCAGCCTCTCCCCAGACTGGGTAAATCAGAACCTTGGGTGGATGTGAGGCCTGAGTCTTGAAGGTACAAGGTACTTTGTGGTTCTTCAGGTGATTGATTCTTTTTTTTTTTGAGACAGAGTCTCACTCTGTCACCAGGCTGGAGTGCA